ACTCACAGCAACCCTGTGAGGGGTTGAACTGACAACCTGGAGGTTCAAACTGACCTTGTGGTCCAGTGCATTATCACACAGTACCACACCAGCACTCCTTTTAATTTTTATTTTTTTATACTGGTATAACTAATTAAAAAAAAAAATCATTTAGATAGAGAGAAAATGTCACAAAGGAATTAAGCCAAAAGCCTTAATTTCAGAATTCAAAAGATTATCAGTGAATTAGCTGAATACTGTTTATGTATGTATTAACTGCCATTAGTTCATGTAAAAAAACATGTGTTAGCTGGTAGTGTAGTGGTTACGAATCAGGCTGTGAACCGCAATGTCAGCAGTTCGAAACTACCAGCCGTTCCAAGGGAGAAAGATGAGGCTTTCTGCTCCTGTAAAGATCTACAGCCTCGGAAACCCTGTACAGGGTCGCTATGAGTTGGAACCAATTCCACAGCACATAACAACAATAACAACATAGCTTAGGAAGTGTGGAGTCCTGGTGTGGTGCTATGGGTTAATGTGCTGGACTTCAAAGACAGTTTGAACCGCAAGGTTGGTGGTTCAAGCTCACCAGCCGCTCCATGGAAACCCTATACAGGGTTGCTATGGACCGGAATCAAATAGATGGCACTTAACAACAAGAAGCTTAGGATGTGGCAAGAGATTGAGTTGTTTGTTGAGCAGGAACCAGATCATAAAGGACTTTGCCTGCTATGCTAACAATTAGAGTTTATATTGAAAGCAATGAAAAGACATTAAAGAATTTCAAAAAGAACGTAGCAAGGGGAGGGTCAGGTCACTGGGGCTAGAAAACAGCTAGGGGAAGATAACTTCAGATAAGTCATCCATTTAACAATAAGTTAAAGAAAAGTTAAAAGTCACCTAATAGTATAGCAGCTAGATAAGAAAAGCCTGCTTAAGTGGTCCAGCTTGAATGTGTATTTAACTTGGATGGTTTAAGTTGGTGCCTTTGAAGACATTACTTGGGTGACAAGTAAAGCAATTCATTATTGAAGTTACTTGTTAGAGTTTCTAATAAAGCATTTGTTGCATTTAGCTGTTGGAGATCAATAGCCAAGTTAAAGAATAACAGTTGGGAGAAAGACAAGTGACAAAGTGAAAAATAAATATGTTAAGAGAAAATAACCTTAATACAAATCACAAGTGTTAGACTAGATCCAATTTTATTCATGAGTGCTCTTTTGTGTTATTTATTGGGAAAATGTCCCAAATAAGTAATGAAAAAGGAAAAAGATTTTTAAAATATAATAAAGCCGCGATTTTGTCATTTTATCAATGACAGCAACATCGTATAATAAAGACCAGTACTGTGGAATGAAATCCATCAGAAAGGCAATTTAGATAACTTAGTCAAACATCAATACTTCAGTATAAGTTTTTATAACTGAGTTAAGTCTAGCACAATCATACTGAAAATGATGTAATTATACTACAACATCTATTGAAATCGAAACCTAATATAAACTTTTAATTTTTATTGAGTTGTAAGACTGTGTAACAAAGGAGAGTATAAGGTAAATATCAAAAGCTTGTTTGGTTGTAATGCTGATCTACCTCCCAAGAAGGATAAGGTCTAATAAATCTTTCAAATAAGACATGGAAGGGAGAGAAAGATGGGAGAAATCAGTCTAAAACATAAACAAAGGTCTTAAAATTGCATGCAGTCAAGTTAACACCATTTCCCAATGTAATCAGATACTGCTCTTCACATGAAGTGTTTACTATTAGAGGTATTTTCAAAAGCAAGGAACTTGGTGTAAACAGTGAAACAAAGGGAAACTATTTTATTCAAAAGTCAGCACACATATGGAACCTGTTAAGGGGATGGTGACAGTTAGAGACACCTAGACCTTCTCAGAAAGGAAGGGGCTAGAGGAAAGGGTGGTTACAAACACAGGGAAGTGGGACAGAGATCAGTCAGATGCGAGGGAGACAGGCTGTTGGGCAGATGGTCTTTTTTGTTCCAAAATGTTCAAAGTTAAGGGACACTCCTTAGCACACTTTCATTTCACACAAAGAGTGAATTAAGAAAAAACCAAGGGCCTGTCTGGTTTTTGTTTTTTCTCTTTCTGAATTTACTTGGGTCATTTATTTGATAAGCTCTGCTTGTTTATTTCATTTGTTGCCCAGCTTCATACTCAAACCCTCCCTTAGTGCTCACTCCATATTCCTTAAGTTACAATTAAAAGTTTGAATTCATTCACACTAATATTTTTGTTTATGTTGCCTACTAAATTCAGCAAAGGAAGACTGGTTTTTCTCTTTTGAAAAAGTCCAATGCTAACAAAGTTCCAGGTTATTCTAGACTGTAAAACAGGTGATTATTTTCTGTATAGTATCTGTGTGCATCCATTAAAAATCTATGCACACAGACAAATAGGTATTTTGATATAAAGGAAAAATGGTATCTGATGGGTCAAGCTCACCTGTATGACACCTGACAAGAAAGATGCAGACCTAATGTGGCTGTCAGATGTAAGCCCATATTCAGTCTCATTGGCCTAGATCACTCACAGGGAGTATACAGGACCTTATCCTAGATACTCTGAGAAATAAAGAACAGAAAGGAAAAAAAAAAAAAAAAAAAACTTCCTTTGGACTGCTTAACTGCTAAGGGGGAAACCAGAATAAACATCGAGTAATGAACATAAACTCTAAGAATGAAAACACACAAAGCAATTCTATATAACCAACTACAGATTGGAAACAGACTGGGACTTGGCTCACTCTGAACAGTATGTAGCAAATGGCAGGTTTTTCACTCATACACTCCACCTGGCCAAATGCAGTTATTGTAGGTTCAGGGCTGGAGCATACATGAACCCAGCCAATAGGTACACTTTGAGAGAAGTCATGGCCACCTGAAATTGGCCACCTGAGTCCTGGATCATTGCTAAATTTTCCATGATGCAATCTGGGAATCACAAGGACCTGTACTTTTCACTGGACAATTTATAAGGAAGAGATGGTGGAAGGCAGACTTAATTATTAGGTACCTTAGGAACTTAATTTATCCTACAGGAATAAATTAATGCATTCAACAAGGGAGAACTCATTAAATGCCAATGTTGTTGTTAAGTGCTGTGGAGTCGGTTCTGACTCAGTGACCCTGCACAGGGTTTCCGAGGCTGCAAATCTTTATGGGAGCAGAAAGCTTCATCTTTTCTCCCGCGGAACAGCTGGTAGTTTCAAACTGCCGACCTTAAGGTTAGCAGCCCGATTCATAACCACTACACTACCAGAGCTCATTAAATGCCTATACTATGTAATAAAAACATTAACAAAAATAGAAAAATAATATATAGAAAAAACATTTTAATTGTTACATTCGCTTGCAAATTAAGTCAATGAAAATAAAACTGTCTATTTTAAATAGATATTAATATATAAAGGACACTTATCATGCCAACAACTATTAATTTAACTGGCTAAATGTATTCCGCTTACATACAGCAAAATTAAAATATGCAGATGCACCAACTACAGATATATCACTCAGCTAGAACAATTTGCCAATAATAAGAACGTTGATCTAAAGTTATGATTCATGTACCATGCCAGAAACACATTTTAAGGATAATCCACTTTCCTAATTTTTCTTTCATCCTTCCATGAATCTACTTTTGAACTCGAAAGGCAAATAATGTTGATTAAAGGTAAAGAGTAATGAGAGAGAGAAAGAGCATTTATTTTAGTTTGCTTAAAGGACAATGTGATTGACAATTGCAACTCAAAAGATGAGAAGCTTAGGGGGCATTGAGTTTCTCTTAATGGTGGTAAAATAATTTAGACAAGAACCATTGCAGACATTGAAGAATGGGATCAATGTAGCAACTGTACATGTAAAAATTATTTAATTGAAAGGTTTTCCTATGTATATTTCCACCAAAAATGTAAACTAAAATTTAATTGAAAGAAGGAAAAGAAAATGTGACAAGGGAGACTCATCTTAAATTCAAGGAGGCACAAGCCAGAGAAATTGTTCTTTAGATACAGGACTGAATTCAAATGCTGGCATCACCATTTAGGAGTTTTGTGACTCTTGTCAAATATTTCAGCTTAACTGATCTTCCCTTGCCTTACCTATGAAACACCCAATGCCTCTCTTAAAGGTTATTGTAAGGAATTGTTGTTGTTGTTATGTGTCGTGGAGTCGGTTCCGACTCATAGCGACTCTGTACAGGGTTTCAGAGGCTGTAAATCTTTATGGCAGCAGAAAGCCTCATCTTTCTCCTGCAGAACAGCTGGTAGTTTCGAACTGCTGACCTTGCGGTTCGCAGCCCAATTCATAACCACTATACTACCAGAGCTCCTTATAATAAACACATTATATTTTTCCATAAACTCTTTGAAGCCCCCTTATATGTGTGTGTGTTTCTATGTATTTATCTTTATGTATTGTGAGAAAGAGGAGACTCTGCTCTCACAATGAGAAACCTTATAGGGGTCACTAACTATAAGTCTATGATACAACAATAACATATTCATATATGTAATCAGCATAGTTGGAATGTAAGAAGATTCAAATGGTCATAAAGCAACAATTTTTTAAGAAAAAAAAAAAAATGTGAGGGCACTTATGCTTGGATAAAAACGAACCATGCTTCTTTAGAGAAGATGTGAGGTATAATTAGTAAAGAAGGAAAAAGGTTAAAAAGAAGGTTAATTGAAAAAGTACTCTGTCCTACAGCTATTATTTGCCTTTTGGTTTTGAAGCCACAAAAAGCAAAGATAATCTGAAAGCCAACTCAAGGCAATTCTGCTGATTACCAGGTTTATCTAGGTCAATGGAAGCCTGATCTTTCCCACTTAAAGCGAGCGAGCAAGTCGTAATGACGGGATGACTGGAAGTTGGAGTCACTCAAGAGTCCATGCTTAACCTTTCCCTACTTCACCAAGCCGCCAAGGCACCCTCCTGAAACATCTGATCACCCCACAGCTCCAAGTTCCCAAAATCAGTGTCATTTTCATTCGTATCTTACCAGTGTGCTGCCATCAGTCCACCGGAAGTCATGCTCGAACATCTTGTCATTGAGGCCTATCCACTGATAATCATGACCCACACCTAAGAAATGGGAAGCAACACAGATATTTTGATTACTTTGCCCATGTTTGGATGAAAACATACCAAGAAAGAAATATTTTTGAAGTGAATCATGCTTCCTCTTCTCTGGCTGTTTTTATTATTATTAATTGCTTATATATTAAAAAAAATTTTTTTTAAATCTCTCATTGTGTATTTTTTTCTTCTTCTTCTGCACTATGTACTTTTAAATGAGAAACTAATTTACAAACATTAGAATATCAGACAGAGTTAATTATTTCCCTGCAGTCTGTTAGAATAAGTACTTTTTTCCATCCTAACTCATGATAGAATTTTTCCATTTACTACTTCTTAGTTAAGCTATGCCATTGGCAGAAATTCAGTGACCCAATAAAGTGAGCCAGATCTAGCCATGCCAGCCTGACTTTTGGAAGCCACTTGTTTCTTCTCAAAGTACTTTAAACAGGGACAACTTAGAGCAGACTGTTCGGCAAAACTAACCCCCAAAAAAACAAATAGCATACTTTCTATGAGATGACTCACATTGATAAGGATACAATATAATAATGTTAAATGAACCTCTATCCAGATTACAAAATAACAATCAAATGTTTCAAAGATAACAAGCATCATGAGAAAATATTGAAAAGGGTGTAACAATGATTCAGAACCAAAAATATCTACATATATGCTACATAAAAATTAGCTGCCCTTCTCTTTGTTACAAGTTACTTTATGAATTTAATCTTACTTTGGTGGTGAATCTAAACTTGGAAGATATTAAGTATTTTTGTATGAAATTTTATTAGCTTCCAACCTCTACTGAGGAGCTCTCGTAGCATAGTGGTTACGAATCGGGCTGCTAACTTCAAGGTTGGCAGTTCTAAACTACCAGCTGTTGCGCGGGAGAAAGATTCTGCTCTCGCAAAGATCTGCAGCCTCGGAAACCCTATGCAGGGTCACTATGAGTCAGAACCGATTACATGGTACTTAACAACAACAACTTCTACTGATTTGTGTTTTTAATATGAAGTCACTTTCTATGGTTTAACATAATTAAAAGCCAAGATGAGAACCAATATACGCAGAGGATAAGATATGAGTGCTATACGTAATTCTGTTTTATTTTTGTTGTTGCTAAGTGTCAGTCTTCGAGTCACTTCTGACTTATAGCGATCCTATATAGTTTCCAAGGAGTGGCTGAGAGGTTTGAACCATCAACCTCGCAGTTAGCAGTCCATTGCTCATCCTAAAGCTCCACATCAGGACTCCCTATTTTAATTAGTGGAATAAAAATAACTGAAAGTATCTTCTCTCTTAAACATTTTACTATTGTTACTGTTAAAGGCTGTCAAGTCAGTTCCGACTCACAGCAGCCCAATATAGGATTTCCAAGGAGTGACTAGTAAGTTTGAACCACCGACCTTGTGGTTCAAACCAACCTTACAGTCTTGCGCTTATCCTACAGCACCACAGCAGAACATAGAAACATATACAAATAGAGATCATGGAGATTTTAGGGTTGGAGTCCTGGTGTGGCGCAGACTTAGTGAAGACTTAGGGTAAGCTTTATGAAATGACCCTTTTGTAAGTCAAGAAATAATCAACTAACAGCAATTTCATTTGATTCAACCGACCACATGCTATCCATGTATTACTGGTGGCACACCAAGCAATACTATAGTTATTACATTATAGTTGGATGTGACCCTAAATGCAGTACTCATAGAGTGAGATGATTTAAAATTATTCCCAGATGAGGGAGTTACTAAATTGAATGACAATCAAGAAAGCTATTTTCTTTCAGTTGGATACAGAAAAACCTGAAAAACTGGTGAAATGAGTCGATTTAGTACGTACGATTCACAAACATTTGTTCTTCATGGGACAGAATGCTTGTAAGGTGGGCACCCTGTAGACGGCATTCCCGTTCAGCAGCATCCCATGTGCGTCGATGGGCGAAGTATTTGTAGCACTGCCCTTGGAATTTGTGCCAGCCGTAGTCACATGTCTCAGTGTCTGGAAAGAAAACCAGGCAGAGGCTTATTAAGCTCACTTTATGCCATTCAAGCATGGCTCACCAATCCACACATTAGTAGAAGATTCAAGCCAGCATCTATGCAATTTCCCTGAGGTAAGTGATTCATAAAACCTGGTGACAAATCTACCCACTGGCAAAGAAATGATTACTGAGAGAGGTCAACTGACTCTTGATAAGTTTGTGGCTCTACTTCTTTGGGCTCCAATTTTCTTGATTAAAACCAGTTTGCAGCAGGAGAGAAGAGTGCATATGGGCTAGCTAAAACCTGCTGGGCTGCAGTCAGTGTCTGCTGACTTCCTGGTGAAGCAATTGGGGCTAATTCCCTTCCAACAAAACTTTTCTAAAGAGAATCATTCAAGTGATAAGATAAGAATTCCAGATAGTAGGATTATGAATGCTCTATTTGCATAAGAACTTCAAAGAGTAGGAAGCAATTCTTTCTCATTTCCCAGAAGGGCAACTGGGGGACCACAAGTTCTTGTCATGTAAGATTTACAAAAAGAGAGAAAAAAAATCATTCAGGAGTAGACAGCTTCTCAGATAATAGCTAGAATTGTGAGTTTTGGGACAAAAGGAGAGAGATCCCTGTGAAAATGCACCAGAATGTGAAAAGGTTGATGGGCTGTTTTCTTTCTATCTTTTTTTGTTTTTTTTAAGTTTTTCATTGTGATTTGAGTGAAAGTTTACAGGACAGATCATCAGTTTTACATTAAACAAATCATATACTTTGTTTCATTGCAATGATTATAATTCCCTCCATGTACCATCAATTAACAGTATTTCTCTCTATTCATTTTAGCTTTAAAAAAAAACAAACAAACACTCAGGCATATATAATAATTTAAACCATGGACCACTTTCTTTTAAATGTGTTAAGAATGAAATAACTCAAGTTAAAGTACCCTCCTTTCACCAAGTCATACACACACACATGCTTCTTTTCAAAGAAGAAAATATGCGTACATGTATATATGTGGATGTGTCTGTGTGTGTGTGTGTATTTTCTTTTCTTTTATAATAAACATACTATGATCAGTATCTTGTTGATAGGAAAGCATTTTTCAAATGTACTTTAAAATTCACACTGGCCATAAGCTTCAGTTATCCTTTCTAGATTGCCAGTTTTTCTGTCTTTTTCATAAAGAAGGGGGAGCCTAGCACATAGCTTTATGTTCTCATTTGCAATGTTGCCTCAGACTCACTCACCCACATGTGGAATCAAACTATATACATTGAACAATGATCCATAGAAATAAGTTTGACTTTCTTAAAATGTGTTAGCATTAATCTTCTTCTTCTGAAAAAGTAAAGATATTGGGGCTGGGGGTAGTAAATATATTGAACGAATTATATAAATAATAAACAAAACTGCAAAGGTCATAGAATTTTAGTATGGAGAAAACCTTGCAGCTACCTAATAACAATAGCCACAAATTATACTGAACAATGAAGAAAACAAACCTTACTAAATTTAATAAATGCTTGCCTGTAAGTCAGACTTGGTGACCAAAATGAAACTTTGATTGTCCCCTCATACCCTTCCCTTCTCATCATCATTGTAGTGAAGTGTGTTCATTACAAAAAAACTTAAATTTGTCCTGGGTTCAATGATTTCAACCAAAATCATACAACAGATGTAACTTATCTGAAAGCAGCCTTTTGTCAGTTTAGGCTATCAAGCCTGTTGTTTAGATACAGCTGGCTGATTAATTGTATTTATTAATGTGCACTGGAGGTTTTGAGTTTTATTAAAATGTTTCCTTGTTGTTGTTGTTAAGTACCATCAAGTCGGTTCCGACCCATACGACCCTGTATAGGGTTTCCAAGGAGCCACTGGTGATCTTGAACTGCTGGCCCTGCAGTTCAAACGGCTTTAGAGTCTGGTGCATTAACCCACAGCGCCACACCAGGACTCCCAAAGTGTTGTTTGGAGACTACCAAATCCCTTAGGAGATGATTCAAGGAACAGCTAGATGGTTTGGTATACAAGCCCAAGAATACAGCAAATGTTGGCTACTTGGATATAGTATTTTTCTTCAGAAGAATTTTGAGGTGAGGCAGGAAGGGTAGGAGAAAACAGATTTTCATATATGGAGTTGGGAGTTTATGAGGGAAGGAGAATTGGAAAAATTTTAATAACATTCTTACTGCCAAAGTCAATAATGTGGTATCATAATAGCATAACTTAATTTAATCTTGGAAAATATCAATTATTTTAAGACACACAGTTTATAGTTCTTAAGAATCTCTAACTTATTAAATAATATGTTGCTGTTGTTATGTGCCGTCGAGTCAGTTCCAATTCATAGTGACCCGGTATAGGGTTTCTGAGGAGCAGCCAACCTTGCAGTTCAAACAGATCTTATGGTCCAGTGCAGAAATACATTCTCTGTACACCCTTAGTTAATCCAAATGGTGTTTGTTCTTTGTCTTTTGTCATTAAAACAGATTACTCTTAAATATTTTTCTTCCTATACTAGAAAAATTCAAAAATCAGAAAATTCAAATGCATGGCTGCATCATTGTTACGATACTTTTCTCAGTTAGCAGGTGCATATGTTTACAACTCTTGCTCCTAACCACAGAAGCTGAAAATTTATCCTCTTTCTGTTGTAAAGGTAATGTTTGTAACACTTTTGGCATGTAATGTTATTGAGCTTTCTGTAATTCGTCAACACTTTGACGAATTCCTGGCACTGACAATGAATTCTATCACTGGCTTTGGCTCAGGACAACCTGTGAGTCTCTCTACTGATCCTAGACCGCAGTCTAAATTTTATATCTGTTTTTATTCCACCAATTCTAGAGTTATTAAGGGTTGGGAAATTACTAATACCGAGAAAAGGTCAGCTGAAGCAACAATGACACAGTCATTGCCGAAATTTGGACAGAATACTGTTTAGACAACAATGCTGCTGTTAATGAAGAAAACATTTGTTCTTAGGCAACCTGAAAAGTGGAGGGAAAAAATTCTTTCAGCATCCTGGCAGTAAATCATAGGAGCACAGCTGCATCTGGTAAACAGACGGAGATAGCTGTTCCTTAGAAAATTATGTGGATGAGTGTCAACCTTGTTTTAAGATAGAATATACCTGAAAGGTAATATGCACTAGAAAGGAAAGACAAAATTAACATTTTTTTTTAAAAAAAAGGAAAAAAGCAGTTGACCCTAAACTCCCCTCAAAACTCTTGTTACCTCTCTCTTGATCTATCAGATATAAATAAAATACTTATCTTGAAAAATTCCTCATAACCACCCATGTTACGGAGTAGAACTTTTCCATAGTGCTTTTTTGACTGTAATCCTTATGCAGGTAGATCAGTGGGTGTTTCTCCTATGGAGCCACTGGGTGGGCTTGAAACACTGATCTTTAGATAAGCAGCTGAGTGCTTAACCATCTGTACCACCAGGGCTCTATGGAGAGTTCCTTTAAAAGTGTGGAAATCCTGAGAAAAGCCTCGGTTTTAGGGTTAGGTCCCTTAGGTTCATTGTTCCTACTTTATAATTCACTAGCTGTGTGACCCCAAGCAAGTCACTTTTCCTCTCTGAGTCTGAATACCTGAACTACTTAACTCATAGAACTGCTGTATCCAATAAATGAAGCACTTGGCAAACTGCAAAGTCTACAGCTGTAGCTTTTTTTATTCTTTGTCAAGAGTTACATGAATCTCTAGGATGGCAGTTTCACAAGAGCAGGGACTTTTGTCTACCTTGTTCAGAACTTTATCTCTGGAGTCTAGAACAGTGCCTGGAAGACAGTACATGCTCAATAAATATCTGTTGAAAAAAAATGATTCTTAAATCGCTCCTTGTATTTGGAAACAAGGGAAGCCAGAATCATTTCAACATACTCAAATGTCTTAAGTGTCCAACCTTCTTTTTTCTTTAATAAATGACATATTCCTACTTTTTCTTCTAAGAAGATGATCTTATCTGGTCTAGTTTCATATTTATCATTTAAAATTATAAAACAAATAGACTCAAGTTATGCAATAAAAAGAACAGCAGAAAAAGAACCTAAAAACTCAGTAATCAGTCATTCCCTTCAAATGACAACTCAATGCATACTCCTTTTAGTTTTGCTTTAATTGTAGAGAAGTCCAAATTAGCACTGCAAAGCAGAAGCCAGGCCAAGCCAACGTAATTGAGTGTCTAATACCCTTTTATTGTGTTTGGTGCTATGGAAGTTTGGCACTGAGCACTTTTATTAAAGCCAAACCACTGCATGACTTTAAGTAGGGGAAACTGACAGTTCCAAGAGTGAGGGTGCTGAGCATGCAATCTATTTCTGATTGGTAGACTAAGAAATGTTACCGTCAACCACCTAAAATACACTCTCAAGTTGGACATAGAATACAAATATCAGGGATCACAAGATTCAAACCATGGTGAACCTATACCTGTCTCATTTTGTAAATGATGATACTTTCTTCAATAGGAAAATTTCCTGGTGAACAAATTCACAGATCTTTTACAAAAGGGTTTGCCAAATAAAGGCTAATATATTCTAATAACAGTATCAGTTCATTTTCCAGAGAATTCTGACTATGAAAACTAAGTCTATTAGTCTCATGTGCTGAGGGGAAGAAAATGAAGGAGTCCTGGTAATGTGGTGGGTTATGTGTTGGGCTACAAACTGCAAGGACAGCAGTTCAAATATGCCAGCTGCTCTAAGGGAGAAAGATTAGGTTTTCTGTTCCCATAAAGGTTTACAGTCTCTGAAACCCTATACAGGGTCACTATGAGTCGGAAATGACTCAACAGCACACCATCACTACCACCACCAACTTGAAATGTAGAACACATATGTGAATTAAGGGACATGCCTATTTTGTCCCCAAGAAGAATACATACAAAATATCCTTTTTGTTGGCTACACACACCAAAAGCAATCCCATTGTCATCAAGTCGATTTCAACTCATAGTAACCTGATAAAGATGGGATTTCCAAAGCTGTAAATCTTTTTGGGAACAGGCAATCTCATATTTCTTCTGAGCAGTAGTTGGTGGGTTTGAACCACTGAACTTTTGGTTAGCATCCCAATGTCTAACCCACAGTGCCACCAGGACTCCTTTGCTGTTGACTGCTGCTGCTGTGTGCTGTCGGGTCAGTTCCGACTCACAATGACCAGATGCCCTTAAATTCAGCTCTGGGTTTGTATCTGCAATTCCTGTCTATAAGGCAAAACAGTAATGATCAAGTCAGTATTTGTTGAGATGATGCAAATTATCCATGCATAGAAAACCTAAACTAGCTGAATATAAACTGTGGATGTCTTCTGCAGATAAGAATATGCAATAAGGCCAAAATTGCTACAAATATCCAGTTCATTAGGATAGAATGCTTTTCAGAAACAATGTTTAAAATATCAAGGTCTTCATTACAATAAATGCTAGCACAGCTCCTACCTTGCTCACAAAGTGCACCGATGTAGCTTGGCAGGCAGAGACATGTAAACGTATTAAAACCGTCAACACATGTGGCTCCATTCCGGCAGGGGTTTGAGTGACACTCATCAAAATCTGCAGTAAAATCATAAAAGACCACAAAATTACTTTCAAAAAGAGAAAAAAAAAAATTCTATTTAATGTAGGATTGCCAGAAAAATCAGGACACCCAGTTAAGTCTCAAGATAACATTTTAAATATTTATAAATATAAAGTAATAAAGTAAAAAGGATAATGTTTTCATATAAGCATGTTCCATATGATATTTTGAACACATTTACACTACAGAAATTCCTCCAACCCTTCTGTGAGTTTATGGCCTATGGTGGTTTGTGTGATTCTATGACGATGAATCTGTGTAGGGTATTTAAAAAACCAACAGGGTTCAAACATGGTGGACAGGTTTCAGCAGTTTCTAGACTCAGGCAGAGTAGGAAAAATGTCTTGGTGATTTACTTCTGAAGTAATAAGCTAATGAAAAGCTTATGAACCACAACAAAAATTTGTCTAAATTATTGGCTTTGAATACGTCATCAAGAGGGATCTATTGCTATAGGAGAGCAACATGTTCAGTGACGTAGAGGGCCAGCAAGAGCAAGGGAGCCCCTCAGTGAGATGGATTATCACAACGGCCACAAGAATTGACTCAAACATGTTAGCAATTTAAAGGCTAACCCAAGACCAGGCAACATTCCATTATGGCATACATAAAATGGCCAGGAGGGAGTCAAGTCAATGGCCGCTATCTATATATGTGGTTTGTGCTGTTAAGTCTATTCTGACTCAGGTGACCCTTTAGGACAAAGTAGAACTGCCTCATATAGTTTGCTGGGCTATAATCTTTTCAGGAACAGATTTGCTGGTCTTTTCTCCTGCAGCTGGGTTCCAAAAGTCAACTTTTGATTAACATGCAAATGTATGTACAAGTATATATACAGAAATAAAGTGTTCATGCATTGTGAAGAACATAACCAATGTTACTAAACAATTTGTGTAGCCATTGTTGAATAGACACCTAAACTGCTGAGCAAACCTAATTTACGTAGTAGGCATACATGCTATAGATATTTATGTGTAAGTCTGTATTTATATGTGTTTATATATATGTAGGAGTCCTGGTGTAGTGCTGTGGGCTAATGCGTCAGACTGCAAAGTTGTTTGAACTGCAAGGTCGGTGGTTCAAGCTCACAAGCTGCTGCTGGGTAACCCTATTCAGGGTCACTATGGGTTGGAATCAACTCGACGGCACCCAACAACAATATATATATACATATATGCATATGTATAGACATATTTGTGACTATATGCACATGTATTAATATACATAACAAAGCACATAAGGATACAGTTGAAGATATTTATTAGCCATACCAAACACCTGTAGGAATTGGTTTTCTAGGTTTGAACAATTAGGATCATAGTTTCATGGAACATGTTGATCAATTGGCATAGTATAGTTCATGAATTTATATTTGACATCCTAATTTGGTGAGTAGTGTCTGAGGTCTTAAAAGCTTGTAAACGGGCATCTAAGATATAACTACTGGTCTCTACTCCTCTAGAGCAAAAGAAAACCAAAGAAGAAGCTATTTTACAGAACAAACATGGCCTCATCTACTCTCAGATCAGAAGAAGTGGTCCTTGGCTACCACTACTGACCACTCTGATCAGGGTCAAAACAGATGGCTCCTGAAAACATCTGATGGGAGAAAACATCTGAAACCAAACCTGAAGTGCCTAGGAAACAAGAAACTCCCCTTTCTAGACTTACTAGACTGGTTGGGAATGGAGGACTCCCTGAGATACTCTTCAGACCTTGAACTAAAACTAACCCTCGAGCTCACTTTGTAGCTAAATAGGAGATTTAGCACACACAATAATGAATATAACCTATAAGGACTGTCTCCTTTTAGAAATCACCTGGATGAGACCAAATGGTCAACAATTATTTTAAAGCAAAGATGAAATGTACGGAGGCAGGGAAATTGGATTAATGGAAATGCAATAATAACCAGAAAAGATTCTGATTAAACACGTCTTGGCTTGTTATTGTTGTTAGGGGCCATCAAGTTGGTTCCTACTCATAGTGACCCTGTATAGAGTTTCTAAGGAGTGGTTGGTGGGTTTGAATTGCTGACCTTGTGGTTAGCAGTTCAGTACTTATTCTATAGTGTCACACTAGGACACCAGGTCTGGGGAAGGTCTTGGAGAAGGCCTTACTGCTGACCTTGGCTGCTCACAATCTACTACACTACCAGAGCACCTTAAGTGATGCATACCATGTTGTTCAAAGTTCTTGTTCCAAAATCATAGCAACCTTTATGAAATGAAAAAATCAAAATGTGAATTGATGGTTTCTTGATATATCCTCCATCGAGATCTATACACTTCTGAAGATGGTGCTTCCATCCCTTTAGCCCTGGCCCTGCCTTGAAAAGCTCTGTGCTCTTAGATATACCCTAACCCCGACCCTTAGGTGATGCTGACACTGCAGGTCCTGGGACCACACTCTGGGGACTATGACATAGGCAACTGGGATTTCTAGAATGTTTAAAAGCAAAAGAATAAAACTGCCATGACTATGACCAAAGAAGATAAGAGTGCACAGAGTGGAGGATATAATTGGCAAAGGAAGGGCCTAGAAACAGAGAAGCCATTAGATATTTTTAGTATTCTAAATGTAAGTACTCACATATACATATATGCCTACGTACTTACATTTTGGATGAAGGTTTACTTCAGCAGTTTAGGTTCCTATTCAACAATATCTACACAAATTGTTCATTGGCATTGGTTACATTCCTCACAAAGCGTGAACATTCTCATTATTTCTGTAGCCATACTCGTACATACATACACTTTTACTGTTTTGGTTATCATATCATTAAATTGTTCTTAATTTTTAATATAAATTAAAAGAGGACCAGATAGGTACTTGATACTTGCACATTCGATATTTTAGAATGTTATATTCTTTAATTGCTATCTACTGCAATATCTACAGCCCCACTAATTACCACACAAATAGGACTTACTAATTCTGTTGACTTTTTTTAAAAAACCAGTGCTCTTTTAAGATGAATTTTGGAAACTTTACCTCAGTTTCTCAGTGTAATCTTAAAGTATTATCAGCAGGCCTTCGTTACACAGCCTTTATAAGCAAACTTTCATGGCACCTCTAAAAAGACCACCAGGATAATATATTCCACTTGTTTGCTCAGAGATGTTCTCAAATCAAAACTTGGATTTATTAAAAAATATTAATAATAATAATAATAATAAAGAGATAGAAGCATTTTTTTTCTCCATCCCACAGAGAACTACCTGTGAAACTACAAAAGGAAATGGCAGACCTCAGTAAGCTTCGATGAATCTTGAATATACTAACAGAATTCAGTAACTATCTGTCCCCATTTCTTGGATCCTAATTAAATTAGTGTCCGGTCTTAATCTCACTTGCCAAAAGATAATTCATTTACACCTATGCTTCCCTGAAATCTTGTGATTGACTCAAGCCCTATAAAAGCAGTCTAGAAAAGATCTACACACTGTTTCCACCAATACCATCTTACCAAGTTCACACTGGTCGCCACTGTATCCTGGCACACAGGTGCAGACATAGGAAATGTCAGTAGAGTAACAGGTACCTCCATTAAGGCATGGGTTTATTTTGCAATGATCAGGTCCTATGATGTCCAGGAAAATAAGAAGAATAATTAGGCTCAACACTAAGGTTTCCATGTATTTTGGCAATAAACAACAATAAAAAAATATCACTTAACTGCTACCACCACATATTCTTAACCATATCAATTTAGAGGTACTACACATAAAAGTTAACATTAACTTTACTCTCTGGAGTGTTTCTTGGTAGTATAAACCAATTGTTACAAATTGCATCTATTCATTTCTGGAATTCAATCAGTATTATTATTAAAAGATATTTTGCGCTGTATCTGGCAACTAATATATTCTACTGCAGATTTAGTTGGCATGATAATGGCAATTGATTTTAGTCAAAAATGATTACACATATGTGCACAGTGAATGGAAATGTATTCTTTTAAATGGGGTTAGTTCATGTGAAATGGCTGGGTACATAAAACATGCATTCTTTTTAGCAGACTGGCTTGTTACCATCATTTGAATTATTATTGCCTTTTACCACTTAATGCTCAGAAACTGTTTTTCTTCGAAAGTGTGCACTGTAGTCTCTTCTCCTACATTAACATGCTTTTTCCAAAAACACGTTCCAAATGTATTCCTTTAAACTATACTTGAAGAAAAGCAACACACAGATTAAACTCTACTGTATAAAAACAAACCTAAATACAAAAGCCTTGCCTAAAATGAAACCCCACATTTTTATTACAATTTTCTTCTTAAAACACAAATAAAAATGGAAACTCCTAGCAGATAAATGCAAAGGCTGAAAAAGTAACTTATGGAGAACAATCTAAAACATAGTTCCTAAATACAAACGGTTTAATTTGAAGCACATAGTTTACTCTGCAGGATTATTTAGCAGTTTTATTTACATTAATGTTGTTGTTGCTAAGTATCGTTGAGCCGGTTCCAGCTCATCATGAGCCTGTATAGGGTTTCTGAGGAGTGACTGGTGGGTTTGAACAGCTGACCTAGTGGTTCAAACTGACCTTGCAGTCCAGTGCTATCCTACAGCGCCAGCAGGACTCCATTTACATTAATAGCATCTATTTATTTGCTGTATTGTTGTTGTTAAGTGTCATCAAGTCAGTTCCGACTCACAGCGACCCTGTCTGTATAAAGTTTCTGAGGAACAGCTGGTGGTTTGAACCGCCAACCTTGTCAGAATTGCTTAAGTTTCAAAATATTCAAGAATCCAAATGAGTTAAAAGTTTCACAAAATAATTTAAATAAAATAATCATAATTGGATTATAACTATACTTTCGCAAACTCTAAGGCCCCCAAACCCTCCAATAATTACCCATGAAAAGAAAACATCTAATTATAAAGCATAAACTTAGGAAATATTAGAACAAGCAAGGTATTTCTGTAGGAGATAAATTTAGCCTTTCCAACTTTGGGAAGTCAAACTCACACTTTCTGAGTGTTAAGTAAATTCTGATAATATCTGTCAAGATATTATCCATCAAGAAAGACTTAATAGATATGTATTCATATGTTTGGGGTTCAATTAGGTCAATACAGATTCATATATTTGCTTTTCTAAGAAGTACCCAAAATTTTCTAAGACTCTCAGAGTTCCCAAAACAGCCACATTATTTTTTATCTTTCTCCATTTAAAACACCTAATGACTACAATCAACAACATGTCTATGACCCTCCATGCAAAATCAAAATGATAATTCTGTGGAAGTGCTTCGTCAAACTGTAATGTGCCACACAAATATGGAATACTGCTACTATTCCCACTACACATGCTGGACACAAGACTGCGAGGATGAGACAAGGGTTTTTCAAGAAAGAATCTTTCTGTGAACTTGAAGAAGTTTAGATTAGAAGAAGTTGTGTTCGCTCCAATTCTTCCCTAAATAGTTTGTATTAGCCTCTGAAAGTTGAATCTATGACAGACAGGCCAGGCAATCCCATGTTTGCTTCTGCTTACTGAATTAAACTAAAGTGACATTGTTTTGCAATGAATACACAGCACAAATATTCTCTATGCATCGAGGACTAGATAACTGGTACATATTTGTTCCTTTCTCTATATGCATTTAGCTGTTACTACTGATTATTTCTATACCACATTTTTACCAACCTCAATTACATTTCAATGAAATTTAAAAAAAGAGTAACCATTGGCCAGATTATTTGATTATCACTTACAGATTAAAATATAGAGAAGACATAACAACAAAAAATTTCAATGCAAACCACCTTTGGTAAACTATCCACAAAATACTTCAAGACATTTATAAAAATTATATTTTATGACTATTTTTCTCTATATGAACTACATCAAAATGAAGCATTAGACACACAACACAAATGTTGACCTAACCAGAAGAATAATTCTAACTCTGTTGTTGTTGTTAAGTATAGTCGAGTCGATTCCAACTCGTAGCAATCCTGCACAGTAACTCCAAGGAGCAGATGGTGGGTTTGAACTGCCGACCTCACAGTTAGCAGTCCAGTGCTTATCCTACAGCACCACACCAGAACTCCAAATTCTATCTATAACCAAGCTATAAAATATGATCATAAAAATTGAAAGTACAATTTCAATCATCACTATCCTTTCTCTACCCTCCTTGGTAGCAGGTAAGTGACAAGACCTATTTATCAAGACCACTTGTTACTTAAAATAATAACTTTCCTGGGAAACATAGTAAACCCAACTTCTCAATATTCTTAGGCTAGACTAAAAGAAGGGAAAATTAATTCTACAAAGCAAAGATCCCTAGATTTCTGGCTTACATCAAATGTCAATTGCTTTCTACAGACAAAGCTGGAAAATAGCTCTTTCCAATAAAGAGAATGGAGTTCGGAGCTGGGCTGATCTGGATTCAAATCCCACTTTTACTACTGTATGGATATAAACCATGAGCAAATTACTGGACTTTTCTGAATCTCTATATTCTAAATGTTTAAAAGGTAATAATACATGCCTTATAGACTTTTTGCAAAGATCAAGTAAGACGATCAATATGAAGTAGTATCAAATTTATATTTCCTGTACATTAAGTAAATACACAGAAATTCTCTCTCAGTAGGTGGAGCATATGTGTGTACTGAATGAACACCCACTAGAGCTAGGCACTATGTTATAACCATATATGAGCTATCTGAAACAAGAAACTACATAAAAAGGAAGAACAGATAGCTGATATTGCCTAAATTACGCAAAACTCTTATTATACAGCTACTTACTACTCTCACAAAAAGACAGATTTTGATACTACTACAATCCCACCCTCAATGGGAGATTAAAAAACAAAAAACTCAATATTTTATATATTTTTTAAAAAACTTAGATACATAACTACAGAGCATAAGACAGTAATATGGCAAAATTTTAAATGTAAGTAAAAACAAATGAAATGTTTATACAACTTACAATCTTATTTTTTATGTGAAAATTGTATGTTGTTTTTAAGTCCCAGAAGAATCCGAAATATTTAAAGCCTAGACATAATCTATACTTACTTTCACTGCTTAATGACTGAATATCTGCTGTTATGTGAATATAAATATCTAGGTTGATTTAACATCGCAATGAAAATATACACACATATATGTTAAGACCAAGCAACTGTTTCCAGGTTTAGAAACAGATTTATAAATATTTTGGTCTTACCTGGTAAATAGACTGCTGTGCCTTCCACTGACTCTTCATTAATGCCAATCAGGAAATCGCTTTCATTAGAAGTTTCCAAAAGGGAAAATGATGGTGTTGCTAGCTCAGTACTTAACTCCGCAGTGTTTACTGCTGTCTGATTATTGGAATCAGGAATTCCCACCGACACTCGCTGTTCTGATGCTGGTATTATGGAATACTCCTCTCCAATAGCAGCTGCTTGTGTTTCAGGGTTGATTTCCAGAGAAGAAGGAACGGTGGGCTTCACAGAAGTTTGTGGGTCAAGCTCAGGCGCAACACCTGTCTCAACCCCATGAGTCACAGGGACAGAAGTGGAATGTGGCCACTGTGAAGCACCTTCTAACTTAATTTCACCTGCATCTGTGACAACAGTTTCAGGCATTCTAATACTGGGAAACTCTTGGACTGTTTCTCTAGAAAGTTGAATATTGGTTTTGTTTTTGGAGTCTTGGTGCAACTCAAATCTTTCTTCAGCAATTAATTCTGTGGAAGATGCTTCCATTTCTTCCAGTAGCTTAGGTTTGCTTTCATCTTCTGACAGTTCTAATTCTGTATTGGGATATAAGGATGGAGGCTCTGTTATGTGAAAGTATTTTTCAGGTGATGGTTTGAAAGTTGCTTTAGTGTTCTCATAAATTTCCTGGATGGAATCTTCTGATGCCATTTGAGATGCTCCCATGCCTGTAGATGGCAGAGTACTTGGCTCGGAAACGTCTGTGTGTTCAGAGGCTCCACTCTCTAAATGGATAGTAACTGGAGATGATGGTGTCTGAAAGGACAATTTTTCAAATGCTGAAACTGTTAATGTGGCGTCAGTATAACCTGGAGAGTTGGATCCTTCCACCACATTTGGTGCCTCTGTTAAACTCTGAGCCATAAGATTAATAGTATCAATACTTACATAGGATGTATGATCTATCAGTGTCTCCTCAGCTCCAGATGAGAATTCTGGCTGAAAAGAAGGGCCTACATATTTCTTTTCTTCATACTCCTCCTGGGTCCTTTCCAAATGGTCCAACGTTGATATTACTGCACTTTGGTCTGCAATAGCTTGACTATCAGACAAAGTGCTTGATTCAAAGATGTCATCCAAGGTTTTAGTTTCAAATTCAGGCTCTTCAATCTCTGGATTAACTGTAGCAGAAACACTAGGAATGGGCAGGGATGCTGTTGTAGAAAGCAAAATATCTAATTCTGTGGTAGGAACAGGGATCTCAGTTGTGAAGATAAAACCCATGTGATCTAATTGGCTTTTGTCTTCAAAAGTTACTGATTCATTATGTGTTGCCTGAGTGTAGCTAACTGGAGGAGTGTCACCAGAACCTTCCAGTTTTTCTTCAGTTAAAGAAAGGTTAACAGCTGCCCCATATTCCTCTTGAACTTGAGCACTTTTTTCATTACTGCCATGTGGTTCTGTCAGAACTTCTGGATCGGTCTCTGTTTGTAATCCAAGGATGTCCTCATATACAGGCTTAGTGTGATCAATATCTATGATTGTGTTTTTATCTGATGTTAGCTCAGGTAGAATTTCTAGGATGGTACTCTCTGTAATTGTCAATATTAAATCCTTGTCCTCTTTGTCCAAATCTATAATAATATTTTCTGTGGCTTTTCTTCTGTCAGGCTTTAAGGCAGAATCCTCCAATCTTCTGATACTATCTGGGAAGCTACCTGCAGTGCCTTCTGCAGACCTCTCGTACAATACTGTATTTGATGGTATGCTAGTTGGAACCGGAGAACTTTCATTCTGCTCTGAAGGAAGAGAAAACACTACTGAAATTGTTGGGGACCCATCAGCAGTAATAGCTTTAGCACTGGGAACCTCAGGATGTTTTTCCAGAGATCCGTTTGAAACAAATGTGCTTCCTTGCGTGGTTGCCTGAGTGGTTCCGGAAGTATGGACTAAATCAACAATACCTAACTCCCCAGATCCTTCCCCAGAATGTTCATAAAACAACTCAGATGCTTTGGGTGTGGATGTAACAAATCCTTTGGCCATTTCAAGATCATAGGTTCTACCCACTAACACAGAAGAGGTTGCTGTTTCTTCAGTTTCTACTGTTGAAGGGTTCTTATGAGAGACTTGTTCAGGTATAGTTTGTGTTCTACTGGTCTGAATTTCTTCTGCCCAACTGAGAGTCTGATTTTGAGGATGTTCAGTATCTGTGAAGAAGGTGAGAGGTACCACAGTGGGCCCTTTTGCTCTGGTATCACTTACAATTCCCATTAAGTTGGAGCTGGCTGTTGTTTGGCTACTTTGGGAGATGCTATCGGTTTTGGAGCTAAGTGTTCCAACTTCATTTGCTACATGTTCCATGCCTGTAGAGTCTTCTGTTTCATCACTTGAGACCCTTGTATCTAAACTTTCCCCTTGAGATGTCTGGGGATGTAATGTGGTAATGATTTGTTCCATTTCAGTAAAATCCACAGATACTCTAGCTAGAGTAGGTAAAACTTCTTCTCCTGATCCCAATCCAGAGAATAAGAGATCAGCATTTGACTCTTCAATGGTTGATCCCACATCTTTTGGACTGGCTTCAATACTTTCCCCCTCTTTGATTGATGCATCTGTAGCTACATTTTCAGATGGTACAGATTCAGTCACCAAAGCAGTAGCTAAGAAAAAATGTGATTTCTCAGTAGCTTCAGGGACAACAGTGTATGGTTCCAAGTCCTTTATATCTGGGTCTGGCATAGACATGTGTCCTATGGGAATGACTTCTTTCTTCATTTCACTGTTTTTACTGTCAGTTTTCTCTGTTGTTAATATAGAATAATCTGTGGTTAGGAATTTTATTTCAGTAGATGTTTGTGAATCAAAACTTGTTTGTTCTGGTGCAACAGAGCTTTGGGGAGATTCAAAAGATTTTTGTTCCTTAATCTTTTCCTCTGATGCGGTTTCATTTTCAATATCTTGTCTGATGGGGTTGACTTCCTCCCTGGACCATAATTTGGCTGGCTCCAAAGTTTGCGTAAAGTCCACTGAAACTGTGCTAGCAACCATTGCTTCCTCATTTCCTGTTCGAACTTCCACACCTTCAGCTTCTACGGTTGGTATAATGGTGAGTCTTTCAACAGCTTTGGTGATAGTTCCCATTTCTCCCAATCCTTGCTCAGTAAATGGAAAAATGGTACCAGAAACTTTTCCAATGGCACTAGGAAGCACTTGATCACCAGAACTGCTGATAGAGACCTGTTGCTCTCCAGAGCCCTCAGCTGAAGTGGTGAACTCTTCCCAAGGGAAAACTGAAGTGCTGACCATGGTGCTGCTAGGTTCTTTAGAGGCAGGCACATGACTGATGTGATCTGAAGTAGGTGCTGCAAAGGATGAGGTTTGAGCATCCATAAGTGCTGCGTCTCCCGAGCCTTCCATTAGTATAGTTTCTTCTTTTGTTGTGGGATGATATACCGTTGAGTATTCCCTAAATTCACCACTGAATTCTTCCTCCAAAGGAGAATCTGTAGGTAAGCCCCTTATTTCTGCCTCATGATTTGGCTCTCCTGGTAGCTCTGAAATCAAGTTTTCCTTGGGTGTTTGGCTTATAGTGTCAGTAACCTGTCTATCCATTATAGTACTCAAAATGAATCCTGTTGGCTTGGAAGGGAATGCATTTTCCCCATGGTAAGATACAGTACTCGTTGCTTCTTTATCAGACTCAAAATTAAATAAAAATGAAGAAATTGTAGTGGTTTCTGGATCAGCAACAGCATCTCCAGAGCCCTGATTGATAGAGAGAGAGACAGGGCTACCTGGGATAGTGGTCAGGCCTTTCTGAATCTCAACTTGACTACTACTGCTGCGTTCAGTGACATGTGCTAAATTTGCTTCTGTAAAGAGAAGAGTAAAATTTGTCTTTTCCCTTTCAGAGTCTGTGGATGTTGTCATGGGCAGAGTACTATCCCTCGAAGCAGATGCTGAATCACTAGATTTTGAATTCTCTAATTCAAAGGGCAAAATTAATTGATCCAATCTCTGTGTAGGTGTATGTTTCTCAACTGTAGGAGCTGTACCTGGAGTTTCCTCCTCCTCTTCTTTTCTCCTCTTTCCCTCAAGGGATGTACTGAAAAGCCATGCATCTGTTTCACGTACAAATTCAGTAGGCACTATTTCTGAAGAAGGATGTTCAGCAACAGAATAAATGGTGGTTACAGGAGCATCAAGAAGGCTATTTGTGATCATTATCTTGTTAGGATCTGAAGTATCTTGTGTATTTGTAGTATTTCTCTCTGATAAATCAGCTACCACAGTGAACATATTATTTCCTCCTTCTTCTTCTCCAGAGCCTTCTAGCATTGGAATTGAAGACGGAGTCCCTAAGAATTCTCCAACGTGTCCAGGAGTTACTTCTATCCAGCTTTCCATGCTAGACAATGGATTATCAGGCTGTGGATGTTGTTTTCCAGTAACTGATTCTTCATCTGAAACATTGGCTGACACAGAACTAGAAACTATGCTTGGGGTCAAAGTGATAGAAATACTTTTTTCGGCCTCCTTACCAAATGTTACTTCTGTAGTCCTCGAAAAGACTACTTTCTGAGATTCTTGCTCAATGGCAGCATCTCCTGAAGATTCTTCAGGAAACAGAAGTACTGATTCAGTATTTTTATGCATCAGATGATCAAGTTCAGAACTTCTTTCTGTGACTGAGTCTGCCCCCTCTGTAGATTCTCCCTCATGGAATTGGACTGTAGGGAAAATATCATGCTCACCACTTGAAAAGGGTTCTGGTGTTTCAGAGTAAGACTCAGACTTCCATGTCATTTCCAGTGATTCAGATTCTTTAGATTCATTTGGCTGCACTGCAGTAGACAATACGCTTTCAGCTATTACAAACTGATGACTACCAGTTTCACTGCTGTCTGAAAAATTCTGAGAAGGTGCAACACTCTCAAATTGGGCACTTCTAGCTTCTGCAGCTTCTTGGTCCTTGGGTACAGTGGTTACTAAATGCTTCCCATTTACGTACTGCACTGATGGGGTGGTTGTTTCATCAGTGGCATTTGGGCAATCTTCATCTTCTTCTTCATCTTCTCTACTTGTATATAAATCTATTTCCAATATCCCAGGTAAAATAGAAAATACAGCATGGTGTGGATCTGTTTCTTCACTACAAGGTTCTTCTTCTTTAGATTCTGAATCTATTGGATGACCAATTACACTCAAATCACTCATTCGACCTGAAAAAAACAAAGAGTTTTCACAATACTTAAATAGAAGATTTGGCAGTCTACTACAGAAGAAATTGCTAGCAAGGCTGACTACACTCACAAACCCAAAGGATTCAAATGTTTTCACGTTAGGGGCAGTCACCCTTCAACACATGGGTTTCAGTCTTCAAATGTGCTGTTACATTAACAACAGAAAAAATAAATAAATCCAATTTAAAGTTATAGAAACAGGTTATGAAAACTCTCCAACATGTTTAACAAAAGTAACAAAGTCCTTCAAATGAAATGAGGAATCACTAATACATTGTATTCTTCATGTGTGAACCCATCTTCATGTGTACTGAAAGCAAAAAGGTTAATTATGGTCATTTCACTGGATCAAACAGAGCAAGTTATTGATTATTGTCTCTGAATATAAGGGAATGCTTAGACACTGCTCTTCAATAAGAGAATGATGAGAGATTCTGGGTATTTGTCAAAACCTTTACTAGAGAATACTGTTTTTTGAAGAGTAATATTTGTGTTTACTAAGAGAGGTTGGTTATAGCCTTTTACAGTACACTGACAACCCCATGCACTTCAGCAGGGAGGTAGGAGATGCGGAGGACTCATAGCTTCAGCCACACCTCATACCCAAGAGAAGGAAGCTGGATGGGATAGTTTTGTGCAGGGAGAGCTCACTAAAAGAATCAGAAAGCATGAGTAAAGACCTTTATCCTTTGTGGAAGGTTATCTACATTAGGGCAACAGTAGTTCTTAATAGCATTTTCTCCAAGAGAAGTTCAGGAGACACATCTAAATATTCAAAGTAGCATACTTCAAATAACATATATCATCAGAACATTGCCTACATTTTAAACTGCCATAGAGCACCAACTATTAAGCCTATTGATTTTTCTTCCATCAAAAATACGCCAACAAAGTTTAACAAGGGCACTGAAAAGAAGGAAGATCTGGGGTCTCACCCTTATCACATATAGAAGAGGGTCAAGCAAGCACAGGACCACCAAATAACAAGGAGTAAAAAATGGCACTTATGTATGAAATGACCCATGGAGAAGACAAAGAGAAGTATGGAATAGTATTCCAAAATTAGTTTGCAGCTCAACCCCCATCCATGCTACATATTCTTAGGCTAAAACTGATGATTTTTCAGGAAGAGTCTCTGATGAATTATCTTCAGAGGACAAGGGTAGTTTTCGCCTGAATTTCTCCTGTTTAATAATCATATCCCTTCCATGTATAATAAATGTATATTAAATCAGAAAAGAAAAGAATACCCTATTTACAAGGACCCAGTCTGGTTTCTATTCTAGTGTATTCTGTGTCAATGTAAATAGAGAAGCTTATGGGTTATCAATACACATTCTACAGAAACTTCTTCTAGGATTTTAACTTTCAAAAACAAAATCCAAAAGCCTTTCTTTTTTTTTTTTTTTAATTTATATTACTCCTTTTTACACTAATAAAAACAAAGATAGTGTTTCTATATTCCACACCATATCCCCACTGAGTTATCCAAATAAAACACTATTTGTATAGAGCTTAGATGTCATTATTCTCACTATACGTCCTTCTTATTTGACTTTCATATATGATACCTCATTTCTTTTATCACAATTTCATTCTATCCCATACATTCAACCTTTTCAAGAGATTTTATAGGTATTTAAATGAATTTGAAATATTTCTGCCATACGACAAAGTTAGATTGATGCATAACTCTTAGTCATGTTGTTGTTAAGTGCTATTGAATCAGTTCTGACTCACAGCAAGCCTGTGTAGCATTTCTAAGGAGCAACTGGAGGGTTTGAACCACCAAACTCACCTTGCAGTTCAAACCCACCTTGCAGTCCAGTGCATTAGCCTGCAGTACTACATCAAGGCTCCCATGCATAACTCTAATGTACTATAACAGCATAAAATAAATCCAATTCATTTCTACCATGAATGTTGAAATTTTCACCAAGTTCAAGAAAATTGTTAAATCTATAAAATATAAATCAAAAGAATAATTTGGTCCAATATTACAGCATTGCAATTGATACTGTGATCTTAGAAAGAAAGAAAAAAGTCAAAAACCAAACCCATTGCCTCCAAGTCAAGAATTAAAACTCATGGATAACTGTGATCTTACAAAGAACAAAATAAAATCTTCAGAGAATTTCACCTTCTTTTAGTCCTTTTTCATCCTATTGGATGAAGAATGAAAACATTCTCATAAATCTGTGAGGATGTCATAGTATTTTAGAATATTTTATCATATCATATCAAAATATTTTAATGAAAGACAACTATTAGAAGCAGTATATTGCAATTTCTAACTTAAATGAGTATTACCATGTCAATCACACAATGTGCACATAGCAAAAGTGTGACTTTTCTGTAAACTCCCCCACATAGCTTGACTTCAGTCATCCTGGCTATTGAACAAAAATTAAATGCACTACCACAACCACACATGGTACCATAATCTTACAATCTTCCCAGACCCCACTGATTGCACAAAATTTACTAAATACACTTGCTTATCAACTCAAGACTTCCAAGTTTCTTCTCTCTCTCTCTCTCTCAAACTCTATTTCTCTTTCACATGCTTTTTCCAATAGGTAAGAGAATTGGCCTCACTAAACTCGTCCCTATTTTAAATGGAAATTTCTGAGTGTACATATTGCAAATGCACCTACCATTAACTTCCTTCCTCCACCCACTTTTCAATATCTGATCTAACTTGCTGTCAAAATCGAAGACAACTTAGCAACATTTCAGGCCCTTTCATTTTATACTTTTCACGCGGCCTTGAAGCCAGCAATGCTCAAAGAATTATTGGTACTTCACAAAAAAGTGATTAAGAATACATATATTCAAAAGTATTTATTTTAATAAGTATTAACATTTTCTGCTAAATGGAATTTCTTAAGCAAAGACACAACATGAGAGTTGAAACTATTATTTGCTTTTTCTGAAAGGAATAGGCTTACAATTAAGCTATGTTAACTAGTAGCATGGTTAATATCCACTATTTAAGTAAGCTATGTTAACTTCCAAATGGTTTCTTTCGCTGGATTTCTTAACATCCGTCTGGGGTGGGGGAAATGGTAATTACCTAAAGCTGTGAAGTTAAATTTTTCTACCAACAGATTGTCTACAGATCAAGCTACACTTTATTCTCTCAGTGTGGCTAGGCTTGTTCCAAGACTTTAAAAATGCCATAGGGTGGGGGAGGAGAGAATAAGAAATCTGTCTACTGTAGATAAAAGTATTCTTTCTGGTCACCCCACACTCCTGTCACAATCACCTCACAGTTCATCCACATCCTTTTCCACTTGCTTCTCTTTGTTTATTCAGCCTCTAAAATGACTTCCTCATCCCTCTTTCCTGTTACCACCCCCACAGACCACACAGATTATTAGACAGTTGCAAAGGCTACAATTATTGCAAATCAGATAAGTTTCCTTGCAGAGTGTGGTGAGGGCACACCTGTGCTATTGTGAAAGTAGATCCCTCAGTCCAAAATTATAATCTACTCTATATTGTACCAACAAGAACAACCAAATGGAGTACTTAATGGCCCACACTTTTAGATGAACAAGACCTTATAAAAGACTATTCTAAATTTAAAATTTTATTCTAAGGATAGTATCATTTTTATTTGGGTTTTAAGAGTCAAACCACGGAACTCTACACAGTATATGTATAATCTTGTCTACGTTTATATGAATGTATTTTAACAGCTTGACTTGAATATACTAGTAGCATGGTTAATAGGGTTTTTAATGGTATTTCACACAAAGCTTTATTACTAGCTGACCTCAAATTATCCACCAAGTATTTTTAAATACTTCAAGGCAGAGTTCTGTAGACATAGCACAAACCTTCCAGTCACCCTGTTAGCAGACACAAAACACAGTTGCTAAGATGCATAGCAGCTGGTTAAAGTTCACATTCTCTTCAGAGAACTTTACAATTTAAGAGCTTATAATTAAATATAAATGGATACCAATCTACTCAGCAGAGATATATTAGGATCACATTTCTTTATTAAAATAGATTTCATTTTGATGCATAACAAAAAGGATTCTGTTTCCTTATTTTAAAAATACAAAAGACTGCCATACCAAAGTGTTTGAGAATTCTTGAATTTAAATAGAAAAGGCTTGAATGTCTACAAGATGTTTAAGTTTTAGGACACATACCTATACACATAATAACCAGACAGAAAGCAATGCTTCCGTTTCAGTCACTATATTAGCTCTGCTAGTTCAAGTACGTTTGTTATACCACTCAAGCACACTTGCTTTGACTGACTGCCTTCTCGTGCTAAGCAAGGAGCTCAACAGTTCTCTCCTCATGAATTTTCTACTTACACGATATGTGTGTATAAGCAACATAAACATATCCGATGGCCTCACGTTTAAGAAACTGACATGTTACGGGGATGATAAATTAGCATCAGTTCTATTCCCAACATGACATAATCCTCAAATGCTCTAGGAGTGGAAAGGTAGTGTTTAGACACAGTCATCTGGTCTAAGTGCACCTGAAAAGATAGCATTGTATGTTGACTCTTTGTGCTTATAGAAAAGGCCCAAGGAACTTCATAACCTACAATTTGTAGAAAGTAAGGGCTTTCCTAGAGAGTAATTTGGGGGCCTTCATGCATTTCTGAACAATAAGGTAAAGGATTATATACAAGAGAGGCAGTCAGTTTATTTAGGTTTATAAATGTTTCCTTAAAAGACTAAAAGCAGAGCAAATCAACAAAAACCTTTTTTTTTTTAAATTTCTATCATGCAGATATTACTAGACAACCTAGCACTCAGTTACATATTTTGATCAGAATTAAGGAATTAAAAATAAAGGTTTGCTCCATGAACAACAGCATCCTTTCCCATGAAGCCAGAACTGGATGGTATGCAGCTACTATTACTGAACCTTTTGATGAAAAATTCAATAAAAGAATCCTGATTCAAACGGGAAATAACACAAAACAAGATTTCAAATTCTCA